TCCAGGAGCGAGGTGTGCGCGCAAATTTTTTTAGATGCGCGCGTCCTTTTCGGACTCGTTCAGACGGCGCAACCATTTCGCGAAACTACGTTTCGCGACACTAGATGCGCGAGAAAAATGCATCGTGTGAACGGGCCTTGCGAGAACAAGCGCCAAATTAGAGCGCTACGGATTGGATTGTTTCGGCTACATCTGAAGCGGGATGGCCGAACGAGTCGAGGCCGATCCAAGGTCAGAAGAAAACGGCAGAAGAGAAGGCTCCCGCGCGCGTTCGCTTCTCGATCGACGATGACATTTATGTGCTACGCGACGTGTACGCCACTAACCCATTCCAGGATTCCAGGAGATGGACTTCAATTGCCGAAAGGGTCTCCAAAGCAATCGGAAGAAATTTCCCCACGCGGGCCATCCGCGGCCGGGTCGACCCGACCTGCTGCTGGCACAGTTTAATTAGAAGTACAGATTTCCCGGTGACTTTTCGTAACGTAACGTAAAAAAAAAAAAACGGGTTTGTGTGTGTGCCACGGAGCAGAAATGCGTCACCATGTCAACAGTTACGACGTATGTTTAGGCTTAGGAAAGGCCAGAATCAGGTACGATCTTTAAAATGGGGCGAGCCCACCGCTCATTCTTTGTGACTTGAGCGAGATTAAGCAAAGCGAAAGCCGGTTGCACTATTCATTGGCAATGAAATTGGCTAATACTGCAGCGACCATGACGAATTTGCACCGAAGCAAGAGGAAAGGGCGCCGCCATGCTTGCCGATACAACCCGGCCCCAAGCAATTGGGGGCCCCACGCTATTTCTCGAATTTCGCGTTGGGGGCGCGAGCCAACCCGAAACCCCAAACGGAGTTTGGGTTCTACGCATGCGCAGTGCTGAGCCCCTATTTATTTGGGGCCCCAAAGCTTTGGGACCCCCGATTATAAAACTTTCTATAACTGTCGTGCTGCTTCAGCTACAGGATTGGCTAAAAGCAAGCTACACCTACCAGCGTCGTGACTGTGACTAGGGAATGGCCCGTCGAGCTCGCAGATAATTCTATTGGCGCACATGAAAGCCTGGTATTTGAGGGCGTGCACTCTCTTGTGACCAGAGAAGTAAATCTTCATATTCAGAGACGGTCGGCCGGTGGTTCTTGCTGCGCCGTTCCAACTGGTGCTACCCTCCCTATTATTTTAACCGCAAGCCACAATAAAGTGTCGTTTCAGCGCAAATGTTTTGCGTTTTAATAATTTTTCACTGTTAAAGGGACACTGACAGGGTATTTATGCTCGCCGAGGTTTTTAGTTGTACGTGACATATGAGAGCTCAACTACCCAGAACAGAATTTGCGGCTCGAAATTCGGTTTCTTTCCGCCCGAAAACCGCCGATCAAGAACTGGCCGGTTCGAGTCTCGCTCACTCTCTTTTCCGCGGTCACGGGCCGTTTCCTAAGATATCGATGCGACCACCAAATTTAATCAAAGTCGTGGGTCACTGAAGGCACACACTCAATATTAAAAACAGACAAAAATATGAAACCCATTTTTTGTGGCTTCTAAAAAGCTGTAAATACGTTGATTGAAAAAAAAAAAAGTTCCACAGACAACCAGAAGCATTCTGTGCGTTCGTCGTTTCGCGTATCGTGGGACTCGCGGGGACGGCGATGGCAGCGGACGACGGGCGTGGGACCTCTATTTCAGAACTGTCGTTCGCGGTACCGGCGAATTCTGCCTACTTTTAAAAGAGAAATTTGGGACTGATCAAAAGAATTGGTATTCATCCCGTATGACACGCCCGGCCACCAAGCCGATTTGCACGAAGACGTCGCCGAGCCGTCGCTCCCTTCTCGTGGCTGAAGACAACGCTCGCGCAAACGTCAAGCACGACGTGTCTACTTCGAGTTGAATATGCACGCGTACGATTTCTTTACTAGGTGCGAATGTCCCCAAAGCGGCGTGCTTCCCGACTTCGACCCGGGAGTGCTTTTGCTAGAGAAAAATCGACAGCAAACTTTTTAACTTACAGTTTACCGGCTCAATTATTAATAAGGAAAGAGAACCACCAGAAAAGAGATGTTTCAGTAGCTCAGTGGGAACCCGTATGGAAATCTTATATCTGGGCCATATCTGGCCATATCAAACATTATATGATTATATAAAGCCTATATACAGCCATATCTGGCGTATATACAGACTTATCTGGCACATATACAGCCTGATATGGCGTATATACAGACTTATCTAACGCATATACAGACTTATTTGGCATATATACAGCCTGATATGGCGTATATACAGACATATCTGGCGTATATACAGACTTATCTGGCCGGCCGGTTTTCAATATATTAAAAAAGTAAAAAAAGTAAAAAAATTCTTTGTTAGCAAACTCTAAATGACTCATTGTTCGCGAGCTAAATATTAGCATAAATGATCCCAAACTTCAGCTTTGACAAGCTTAAGTTTGAGATCATTTGTGCTAGTTTTCACGAAGATTTCAATGTAGCTTAATTATTTCAAAGTGTTGACATTACGCCCGAATAGACAATTTGCTAAATCCCCCAAGCGCCTCGGCCTCCACTCCAACAATCATGGAGACGGTGTTTCTTCGGCTGCCTAGCGATCGAAAATTTCGGGCAATTCTATGGTTACACGGATTTGACTGTGATTCGGAGTCACCTTGAACACGTGCCGTACAGAACCCAAATACCTGCCATACCACTTTTAAAATGTCCCACCAATGTTAGTACTGTGCATTCCGTCCACCCTTCAACCTGGATGAGCTGCAGACATATCTCTTACAATATTATCATTCTCATACAGCTTCTAAGACGCTGATATTAAGTTAGAAACGCAAAAAATGTTATAAACAGCTCCGCTGAATCCGAGCTAAATCCTGGTTTTGGTTGTTGTGATTTCTCGGCTTTTATGTAATTCTTGGTAAAACAACAATCACGAGAATGATAATACGGTAAGAGATTTCGGCGGCTCAGCTTGGTTGAAGGTTGGACAGAATGCACAATATCATAAACGCTGCCATTGACGAGAAAATATAAAAGTGATATGACAGGTACTTGAGCCCTTTGGGACGCTTGTTGAGGGTGACTACGAATTACACTCGAAACTGTGTAACCATGGAATTGGTTAAAACTAGCGATCACTAGGCTGCTGAAGGATCACCGTTTCCATAACTCCTCGAGTGCAGGCCGGGGCACTTGGGAGAATTGTAGACATTAAAAAGATATAGAGTGCTGATTTCAGGCTTGTGTCCTTTTGAACTGCCTGGCCAGATCTGGAATTTCCATACCTGATTTTCAGGCTATATCTGGCAGATATACTATATCAGGTTATATGTGGCCAATTTTTGATATGGCCATATCTGAAATCTTCAGATCTGGCCAGATATAAATTTTTTGTAAGGGAAGGACGTCCGCTTCACACGCGGTAGGACCGAAGGCTTTATTAAAAAAATACGCTACTCTGTTGCAAAATATTAATTGGGTAGTCCTCCGACACCATAATAAAGCGCCTGGCAAAAAATAAAAAAAATTTTTTGGGGGGTGTCAGTGTCCCTTTAAGAAGTTCGTTCGTTGTCCACAATGGCGCTGCATGCGGAAAAGGCGAGCGTGCCGCGTTGCGTCGTCACAAACCCTATTCTATAAGCACGCTGCGTGAGGTGTGGTTGCGTTGGGTACCCCAAAGCGTTGGGTTCCCCAAAGCGTTGAGACCCCCTATTCTAAAACTCTCTAATGATTCTGGACAGCTACCGTCATGTATGAGCGATGAACGCAACCAGGCTGGTTACCGCCTTCGCTCATAGGTGGCGGCAGCGGGAGCGGAACGACCGGCGATGTGCGCAGCGGCGGGAATGGTTCCGCAACCGCCGCGAAGCCGCTATCGCCTGATGTTCCACTGTGCCGAGCGCTTCAGATTCCCTTGCGAACGAAGAGCAGATCGCTCGCCTGGAAAGCCACCATCGAGAACAGAAGCTACAGCTTCGCTGCTCTTCCTTTTTTACCAGCGTGGAAATGCTGAAAGTTTTGTTTTTTTTCAACGCTATTGTAGTTTTTTATGGATCATAAAAGTGCATTAAGGTACCAACGATAATATCTCATCAGCATTGAAGTGTAGAGGAACTTCTTTCGCGTTCTTATGTTGCAACAGACTGTCTGTCGTGCCTGCCGAATGGATTCAACCACATATGGATTATTGACAAATATTTCTTTTTTTGTGTGTGTAATCCCAATTAAGTTTAGGACAAAGGCGCAGCTAGTGCATCTGTTTTGTGAAATCATAAAAGGTGAACCTGACCATTAATCAAAAGATTGAAAGAGTTATAAGAAGCTTGTAAAGAATTGCAATTGAGAGTTCAATCTTTTCCAGGTCACAGAGAAAATAAATTGCTCAGGACTGAAAGCAGCACTCATTTAAAGAAAACTTTGTAAAACGGGAAGAGATAGAAAATTATTCCGATCTTTTTCCCGCGCATTGTGTGTTTTAACTGGCCAATAAAATTGCTTAATGTCGTGCTGATAGTTTTTATGATTTTTACTTGATTTGTTCATATTAGTCCATATTATTCCATAGAAAAACCTTGACCCTCTCTAAAAGTTTTGCCTGAAATACGCTTTTCGTTTGCAATTTTTGTAAAGAAATATACGACTAAATAAGCTTTCGTGGTGAATTAATACGGTACCAGAATTTTTTTATATATACATACATATATATATATATATATATATATATATATATATATATATATATATATATATATATATATATATATATATATATATATATATATAATATATATATTACACTTCAAAAGTTGACCATCAATGTAGAAAACTGGTCATACCGCACCGCACACACGGTCACTGATCGTGACAGCACTATGAGAGCACATACCGAAACTTAAATTCGACAAAATAAGAGGTTGCACATTGATACTGCAAGTGTCTGATCTCATTTGAAGAAATCAAACCCCTTAGAACCCGATTTCAGAAATTGGCGTACCTCTTTCCGGTTGTTGGTGGGGGCGGTGTACCGGATTTTGTATTTCTGCAATCAAAAGCCAGGCGTAAGCATTCTCAAGCAATACTTGTCCGAGAAGATCGACTTTAACCGCCGAATTCAGAAACCTCACTCAAACTACACTCAAACTGAGCGGCTCCTCCACTTCCTCGAGGAAGGCGCGAGGGCCGGCGCTGGCCAATCGCCACGGCGATTCCGTCCTCGCGATTGGCCAGCGCCGGCCCTCCTGCCTTCCTCGAGGAAGTGGAGGGGCCCTTCAGTTTGAGTGTAGTTTCAGTGAGGTTTCTGAATTCGGCGTTAAGGCACTAGTTTCTAACTATAGGATTCTGGCAGGCTTGTACAAGATACTCACTAAAAGTATTTAAGTTAAGTTACTGAGTACCACGAAAAGCAGTAACTGAGTAGAGTACTAAATACTCAAATTTGTAAAGTGATTGAGTAAAGTACAAAATACTCCTAAAAAGTAACTCGTTACTTTCAAGATACTCTCAAGTTACAATTTTCTCTGCAATTCATCGTCAAGCACAACCGAAGCCAAAAAAAAAAAAAAATCTTCCTCCCAGCTATTATGGAACCTCCTGGAAATCTCTCAGCTAGACTTTGGCTGCCACTTAGGCTTCTAAGAGGTCCCAAGTAACTACAAATGAAACAAAAATAAAAAAAATTGTCTTTTATACACCGACACAGTGTTTACAAACAAGCTCGCTTTGCCCACCGCAGGTGTGGGCACTGCTCGAGCGCAGAAACCAAATTCGGGAGGAGGGAAGCTCGTGCGAACGCGCAGTACCGACAGCAGCGCCACCGCAGTGTCGTGACGTCAGTGACTTGAGTTGGTCTATACCCTTGCTGTGGCGAGGACATAGGCGAGCGCAGCGCGAGGCCCTGTTCGCCTGCGGAGAGACTATCTACACAGAAGCTCGCCTCCGACGCTCCCCTTGTGTCAGGTGTTCTTTCCGCTTCC